TCGTTTCTAATTTTAAATCAAAAAAAGAATGAAGGGGTTATTGTGCTGTACAAAGCATGTCCCACCCACTCCGCTTTTATTTCCTTCCTGTCTTTAGATACTGCTGCTAAAATGGTTTTTAATTATAACTTACAGTAAAGCATGGAGTAACTGTCATACATTTAAGGAATAATTTCTCACGATCAAAGCAGGGACTTTCTCATATGCTTAACTGAATTTGGCTTCAGTGCTGTCAGTCCAGGCCTTATGCGACTGTAATGGGGCTATTAGAGTCCCGTTTAGTCAACTCCAGCACTTACTGCAGTAACACAAAGTTCATCCCACCCTCCTTTTCTAATTATGCCATTGGATTCTGGAGGAAACATTTCTAGCAGTGAGAAAATAATATGTTTTCCAAACCCATTCAGTTATCACAGTACTTCCAGCCGTTTCTGGTAGGACGTGGACGTCTACCCACACTGAGACAACCATGCTTACACCTGTAATATAACACAGGCTGCAAAATTAATTACTTCAGTCCTGCATTGCTTCCCACCCTTGTGACTGCTTTGACAGCTCAGAGTGCTGACTGTCACCAGTTAAGCTACTTACCTACTAGCCTCATGCAGGCTGGAGAACATCTGAGTCAGTCTTGGCCGATCAGAGCTCTGCGCGTTCCTTCTGGTACCCCGCTGCTGTCTTCCCAATGCCCCAGCAAAGGAGGTAGCAACTCTGTGACAAAAAGTGCTGCTTTAATAACAGGTATGCTTTTAACTTTATTCCACAAGGATTTGTTTGCTCAATGCAAAAGACAAAATCAAGTTGTTTAGAGGCCCCAGGTGCACTTTGCTGGAATTGGGTATAGCTGCCTTTCACTGCTTCAGCGTTGCCCCCTGCACTCCTGAGCTGTCACATAAGAATCAGAAATGGATTGTTTCAGGTTGCAAAGCAAGACTAGCCCGGACTCTGCTTGACTCTTGCAGCAGTCTTTTGTCCCCAGGCTGCCCCAGCTTCTAGTTCTTAGGTGACCAGGAATGATACATTCCCAAGGTCCTTCTTTGTATTACCTAAGAATATGAGATGAGGGACTCACACAACTATGCAGAAGGGTCCAAAAGAGCACATCTATTTCTCCTCCTAGAGGAGACACTGTAGCTGTGGTGATGATTTCATTTGCTAAAAAAAAAAAAAAAAAAGAGGGGAAGTAATGTTGAACTTTAATAAAAGGCCACAGAAAGATTGCTGTTCTTGAGCAGTATCCTCCAAAGGGCTGTTGGACTCTTGCCTACGCAGAAACTGCTTAGCACCAGCTATGGCAGCAGGTACTGCACCATTTTCACCGTTAGCATCTACAAGCATGGACGTGGAATAGCTCTTGTGCTTCAGGATACACGTGTAGATTCCTGAATGTATTGAACGGTTCTGTCCTGTGTGCATTGGACGAACACAAAATATCAAAAGCTGCAAATGCACATACACAATAGATCTTATTATCACAGGTTAGGGAACCTGCTGGGGAACTGAGAGACGGCAGGAATTCATAGGCCCGGTGGTGCTTTAAAGTACATGCTGTGTGCGGATGGAACACAGTGTTTGAAATAGGATAGATGGTGTTATTCCACACCTGTATTGCAAATAACATTTGTACACTCGCATCTGTGCAAGTTCCTACAGTGCAGCTCTTTAACACTGAGTGAAATGCTTATTTGGAGAACAGAAGGGTTTAGAAAAAAAAAACAATTGCTGAATTTTTCTGTAGTGCGGTGTTTGTAGATCCCTGTAATGTTTGGCACTTTCTTTTCCCCTCAAATTCTCTCATAAGGGAGCCAGAACTGTTAATCTTAGCATTTTCAATTATTTCCATGCTTGTGTGGACAGTTTGAAAAGGAGAGAACCTTGTAGACTGGTAAATGGGAAAAGTAGGTCATCCCATTTAATAAAAGTTGCAGTCAGGCACATCATCCGACACGGGTCCTGCATTTTGTGCACGATGATAGCTGATTCCACCTGAATTAGCAAACATCATGACACCTTTTAGAAAGAGGTTGTTTTGCTTTTCTGTTGGACTGTCCTTGGCTGTGTGAAAATCTAGTTTTGCAAGAATTATATTATTCCAAGATCACCTGCAACCATAGCTACTTGTTTTCTAAATTGTGAGCCATTTGCTACTTAAAATTAAGCTGCTTTACTGGTTTTCTCCAAATAGTGTGCTTCTGAAATGCCAATTATGGCAGAAAATGTGGTAATTGGGTAAATGGAATAGCACCACTTGTTCTGATTCCTTTTTCAAAACAAACTGCCTTAATAGAGACAAACTCTGCAAAACCTTCTACGGGTAGCATGTAATTTGGGGTCGTCTCATTAGATGTGTCATAAACTCATTTAAGATGTAATTTGGTGTAATTTTGAGGCATAATGTTTAAAAGTACTTCTGAACTTTAGTCTCTAACATTTGTCAAGTCAGTGAAACCTATATAAACAAATCAATCAGCTGCCTATATTTTGCATCTACAGACAGTAATCAACTACTCTGCCCCAATTTATGCTGGTTTTAATAATCTTGATTGGATTAAAGCAGCCGTTGGCAAGATTTTACAGTGGCAGGCCAGAATAACCCGGCTCAGGTCCAAGGTGGGCAGGTGTTTCCGACTCAGCCACAAGCAAAATCCTCTGCCGCTGGAACACCACTGAAGCCCCCTTGCTCCCTGGGCAGGGTCCAGTGGCTCCATAGGTCATTTCCAGCCCATGGTCTATATAGGTTGTCGACGGTTGGATTAGATATTAACCTGTTGCCTCTAGTAACCATATTCTGCTAGCCTGTGTTCTCTTACTGAAGATGAGAAACACTTTTACTTACTGAATAACCGTGATATCATGTTCGCATATATAACTGACATTACGCCGAATGATACTGTAGTCTTGAGATGTATTTGCTTCCACATTTTTGCACGTTTTCTATGCGACAGGGAGAGGCCAGTCACTCTTTCTGTCTCTGTTCCCCAAGATAAAACTGAGAACTTTGCCCACCCAAAGTCCATTTTGCCTGTTCATAACCTAAGCTGTTCAGGGCAGATATCATCTTATTACGTGTGCGGAGTGTGACTTTGCAACCAGGGCTGTGCAAGATCCTTTCAGAGGTGCTGCATGCCTGCTGCTGCCTCTGCTGGGTGAAGCTGTCCCAGCACCTCGGTGTTTTTGGGAGGTGCCATTTAGGGCTGGAGCAAGGGAAGCAGCCACGACAGGAGGGGATGCTCTGCTGCAGCCTGCCCTGGCATAACTAGGAGCAGTGAGGCGGGGCACAAGCCCTGGGTGCTGACTCAAAGGAGCATGCCCCCAGATCCATTTCTGTGGCCTGGGCCAATGTTTCCCAAACCTGGTGGGCACTTGTACCCCTCAGGTGTTCCCCCTGCTTGCTCGATGACCCTTGCTTCTGCCCAGCAATGTACAGAAGGGGGGCATGCCCAGGCAAGCTACATCCCAGCAGGTGGAGGGCGCTGGGGGAGGGCGCTGAGAGAGCACCCGCTGGGTTTGAGAAACACTGCCCGGGGTACAAGCTTGACTTGTTTCCAGGAGGTTGAACCAACCGTCTCTGCCCCAGCCTCTGCCCAGCTCAGCTAGGTAAAGCTGTATGACTCCAGTGCCAGTTACCCCACCTGGGGATTGCCCCCTGACTTTTCCCAGTGTGCTGGGTGAGCTGTGCCCTCGGGTGCCAGCTGAGCTGCCTGGCAGGCAAGGACCAGGTGGCATTTGCCCTGGGAAGCAGGGGAACCCCTTGAGTTCCCCTTGGAGCAGAGGGCCCAGCCAAGGCTGTGACATGGCCCATGTTTCCTCTCTTCCGCAGCTTTGCAACTCAGCCACGCCAATGGTGCCTCCAGTTTAGCTATTCCGTCTTCCCCATCTCTCGAGAACCCCGTGGGAAGGAGATGCCTGCTGCCCTCTGCTCACGGCGTGCTGGAGCAGGGGCTGTTTCTGTGGCTGTGACTACAGCTGACATTGTGGATCAGCTTGCTTTTTACGCCCTATAATAGATGCGTTCCTTTTGGAAATGGGGTGCAACTAAACTCAAAAGTTATGGAGGGGGTGTTTTGAGTCTAAAAAGATTGACAACCACTGGTATAGAGTGTCCTAACACAATGGGGTCTGTAGGAACTACTGCAATACAAAATAATATAAAACCAGTCTCTGAGCTGTTGATTTAAGATTTGTTTCTGGCCAATAAAAGTCATAGTGATTTATTTTTGAGGATGATTTATTTATAGAAGGCATGTAGTAGCAGCTCTCTGTGCAGTACTGGTGAGTCCCATGGTGCTGCCCGCCCCAGGTCTTTGGCGGGAGGTTGAAGTGCTGAGGTTTGGTCTCCGGAAGAGAAGTTATTCATTTTTTGTGCCAGGTTATTGTTTAAAATAACATCATTTGCCTCATTCTTCTCAGTATTTTGGTATGATCAGAAACTACAGGCTGTCTTTTCAAGAGCATCTCCTGTATTTGCAATATGTCACTTGTAGCTTAGTGGTTCTAGAAATTGAGAATAAACAGCAAGTTATTAATTTACTCAATAATACCCGGTGACAGATTTCCTATGTGGGTTTTTTTTCTACCTTTAATAAGAATTCCTTTACAGGTGGTGGTCAAGGAAGGGGAGAGGCTTTTAAAAAAGAAAAGAAAAGGCAGGGGTGGGAGAAGGGGCTGTATTTTAGTACTGAAACATTGTAAATCTGTCCAGAAGTGTCTGCTAATTTAGTACAGGACCAGCGTGTCTTTCATCGCTTCTGTGATGTTGAAAATTATTCCATTTTTCTGTAACTTTAGCTGTGGTAAAAATGGCTTTATTCTAAAATAAGCCTTAAAAAATGTAAGACCGACAAACTCAGTAGTAGTTATTGGTGGTTTTACTTAATATTGTAAATTTCCTTTCTAGGAATAAAGATTTGAGCAATTACTGAATATAGATTTATGAAGGACTTCAATAATCTGTTCATTTGGTCGCTTCTGATTGCTGCTTGTTTTTGTTTTTATAACAGCGATCACATGGAAAATATTTATGGTTATTTAATGAAATACACCAATCTTGTCACTGGCTGGCAATATCGGTAAGTCTGATGTTTATTTTTATTAATTTATTTATTTTAAGAAACAAACTTGCTTAACAAAATTACTGGTTATCAGCAGGGATCCTGGTTTTTCCTAATAAAAAATCGCAAATTCTCTGATTTTAAAAACACCCAAATCCATGATGAAAATGAAAGGCCACTAGATAGATAAATAGATATCAGTTGAACACTATGTCTTCTTGATATAGTTACAATTTTAAGGTAACTTGGAAGCCGACCAGTGCCTCAATCACTATAATAAATTCTAAATACCTATACATTTTGGTATTTGATTTTGGGTTTTTTATCATGGAAAATCAAAGCTCCCCCTGCCTCCTTTGCTCACAGAATGCAGGGCCAGGCCCCACATGCCCCTGCCTCCGCAGCCCTGCTGGTGCCTTCCACTGTCCCCTCCCACCTCCCAGCCCTGCCAGAGGGGGGCCCCCAGCTGCCAGGGCTCTGGGACCAGGGACCTGGGTCCACAGCCCTCTGCCCCCCCCACCGCAGCAGTGCCCGAGCCCTGGTTGCTGCCCACAGGAGGAGGCATCTGCTGCAGAAAAGTGGAGTGCGGAGCCTGGCTCCCCCTCCCTGCTGCCTGTCTGCTGCAGGCTTGGGTTTGGGGCGGGGGTGGCTTCCCACCACTGCGTGCACACCTGGATGAGCAGGGGGGACCCATGCCCCCCAGATCTTTGTGTGAGGTGGGGCTGGGTGCAGACTGCCCAATATGGGCTCAGGCTTGCTGCCCTCCTCTGGGGCCTCTGCAGCCCAGCAGGTGCAACCCAGCACTGCAGGGCAGATCAGGGCCACGTGGGGAAGCTGCTTGCCGCTGTGAGCTCTGCGCTGCCCTGGTGAGGCGTCCTCTGCCCACGCAGCAGCAGCAAGGGGCACAGCCCTGCACTGCTGCCCTTGCTGCTGCTGCTGCATGTGAAAGGGATGCCTCACCAGGGCAGTGCAGGGCTCGCAGCAGCAAGCAGCTTCCCCACGCAGCCCCACTCTGCCCTGCAAGATGATGTTGCACCCGCTGGGCTGTGGAGAGGCCCCTGAAGAAGGCAGCAGGGCAGGGAGCCCAAGCCCGCAGCGGGCAGCTCATGCGTGCCCCCACCACACACACAGATCTGGGGAGCACAGGTCCCCCTGGGAATGCATGCAGTGGTGAGGAGCCAGCCCCCCGTTACCCCCTAGATGAGCTGCCTGCAGCTCTGTCCCACTCCTCGCCAGGGCCCTGTGGCTGTGCGTTCCAGCCCAGGCCTCGAGCTGCATGCACCCCTGCAGCTGGACAGTAGCCCCAGCCCCTGCCCCAGCCATTTCTTCCCTCCCTGTGGGGGCATCAATCCCACTCCCCACGACATGAGACTTACCTGCAGGAGCTGATCTCCAGGCTGCCTGGCAGTCGGGTACCTATACATGCACGTGGCGCCTCCTGTCCATCTGCCTCCTCCCACTCCCCCCCAGCCCCTTGCAGGCTGGAAATCAGCCAGCCTGCAGAGAGCTTGTTGCAAAACTGAAAAATCCTCTGTTTTCTCTGTTAATGAGAAGTTTGCATTTTCCTTGGGTAAAGGGGGAAAGCCACATTTTTCCCACTTTTCCCATGGGGAAATGGAAAACCTGTATCCCTGGTATGAGCAGGCTTTGAAGCAATTGGGGGTTTGGGGGGGGGTTTGTTTTTTTTTCCCCTTGGGAAGCAATTTAAACAGTGAAACTATTTGTAGGTTTAAGAGTCAACAAAGAAGATGGAGAACAAAAATGATTAGTGGCCATGGAAACGTGGCATATGAGGAAAGGGTGGAAGAACTAGGCCTGTTTAGTCTGGAGAAGAGAAAACTGAGGTGGGGGAAGAGTTGATAACAGTCTTCATATACTTGAAAGATGGTTATATGGAGGATGGGTATCGACCGTTCTGCATGGCTGCAGGGGATAGGACAAGGAGCAATGTTCTTAACTTCCAGCAAGGAAAATTTTAGGCTTGTTATTATAGATTAGATTTCATAGATTTCTAGAGTCGGAAGGGACCTGATAGATCATCGGGTCCAACCCCCTGCTCCAGGCAGGAAAGAGCGCTGGGTTTAAGTAACCCCACCCAGATGCCTGTTTGATCTCTTCTTGAACACCTCTAAGGTAGGTATTAGGAAGAGTGTTCTCACTATGAGGGTGGTTAAGCTTTTGAACAGGCTCTCTAGAGAAATTGTAGAATCTCCCCCCTTGGAAGTTTTCAGGAACAGGCTAGATGCACTTGGCTGGGATGGTTTAGTCGGGGATGATTCTGTCTCAAGGAGAGGGTGGGATTAGATGATTTGCTGAGGTTCCTTCCAGTCCTACTTCTCTTTTATTCTGCTTTCTAGTCTTAATGTCAATTAAACCTAGCAGATAGGAGATAAATGTACTATATTAATGTTGGGAATATGTGCAAGAGGAGGATTGATTAAGGTGTTAATCAAAAGTAGAGTGGGAGAAGAAGGAATGTAAATGGAAACTTCATAATGTCGACTGTCAGTTCTCTTCCATGTGAACTACTAGACTAGCTGCTAAGGCTACTAGCTTGAGACTGAGAGCAGCAGCTAGAGTAGCTTTAACAGAACACAGTAGAGTTAGTGGCTGAGACATAAGGTTCATATTGTGCCTTTAGCATCTTTCCTCTTAAAAGATCCCTAGATACTTCTCAAGCTATATATTCCTGCAGCAGTCTTTAAGGCTGAAAGAATGAGCACTTAACACATCATGTTGCTATCAAAGTAGGCCACCATGATTGTGCTACTGTTGCTTTATCCTAAATTTTCTCAGTGCTAAATCTTCCAAGACTTCCTAGATCTTGCAAGTATACTTTTACAGGGACAGTAGCGCACACATACTATAGTTGCAGCTTTCTTTAAAGGAGAGGAAACTTTGCATAAGGCTAATTTTGTGCAGTTTTGAGTATTGTATTTGGTATGTTTGAGGCTGTGCTAGAAAATTGTGGGATTTGCTTACCAATTTCCAGATGATAGTCCTGACTGAATGACGAGGATTTGTTTTTTATTTTTTAAAATATTTGAACTACTTTTAATTTTAATAAATTTACTTTTGTTACAATTGCAGGTTTTTTGTTTTAAACAATGAAGTTGGCTTCCTGGAGTATTTTGTGAATGAGCAGTCTAGAAATCAGAAGCCCAGAGGTACCTTACAGCTAGCTGGAGCTGTAATTTCACCCAGCGATGAAGACTGTCATACCTTCACAGTTAATGCTGCCAGTGGAGAGCAGTATAAGCTAAGAGGTGGGGTGTAAATTCTTGGACAGGATTTTTTTTCCCACTAGAGGACACTCCTGGCTCTTCATTTGTGGTTCTAGTTTTGTGCTTAGCTGCCCCTGTTTGCCTTGGATAACAGATAATTAATTTTGTAGGCCGCACCCTCAATACATTTTGTGCCCTCAGTTTGGGCTTAACCATTTTTCATTTGGGAACCTGCCGCAATTTAGTTACTTTGCAGTGGGGAGACGGTATCTGTCATTGGAGACTGAGTCCTTCCCTGTTTATATTTCAGTGTTCCTGATCAACTCTAGAGAGAGGTAGTTAGCTATGTAGTCTCAAATTGGGCAGACTAGCATATGGAAAAGTAACCCATTGGCTATGAAAGCTTTTGTCTCTCTGAACCAGTCATAAGTCTCTAAGGGTGTCGTTACATGTGCTCCAGGGGTGGAGGGGGTGCTTTAATTAGAGCAGCTCTCTGAAACCCTGTCCTACATAACTTTGCATCTTGTATAGTTTTATCAAGGAGGAGATTGTACGTTCCCCCTGAAAGACAGTAAGGATGGGATAAGGTATTGGCTGACACTCTTGCATGCTCTCTTGTATTCTCGCTCATGTACATGTCTGTCCTATATACATACAGTTCATTTTAAATACAAGTCAAGTTCAGCAGAAGGTCATGAAGCTTTTTGAAGGTAAGCTGTAATTAGGAGCAGTTCAGCGTGATATATTTCTATCCTGGTATTTAGTAAGAGCATTGTTAAACATATATGTATATACGTTTAATATTTCTCTCAACAAATACCAGGATCAAAATAATATATTTTGCTGAACCACTCCTAATTACAGCTTACCTTTGGATAGCTTCATGACCTTCTGCTGAACTTGACTTGTATTTAAATGTACTTTTTTTTTTTTTTTAGACTAAGATCAAGTGTTTGTTCTTGGAAATCCCTGCAGAATAAATATGGTATAATGTTTTCCCTCTTTTTAAGCAAGTCATTAAATTATTACCTAATTAGCTGCTCAACTCTGGTACGCGGGTTTCCCCCTCAAACTGAAACTTGCACATTTTTTCTCAACAGCGAAAGCTTTAAGTGGAGGTGTGCCGACATCTGAATAACTGAGATTATTTGTGGCCAGATCTTGCAGCTCTCCTCTTGGGAGCATTGTAGTTACGGGAACATATTTGTATAAGTACAAATCATCGCTTTGGTACCTTGGTTTTTCTTTTTGTCTTGCCTCTCAGAATTTTGACCTGTCAACATAGTAGAAGTGTTACATTTATCCAAGTTGTTCTAGAAGAGTTGTGATGTGGCTGACTCGGTTTTTATTCTTTTACATCAACAAGACTATAGCATAAAAGCGTTAATTTTGTGTTACTTTAAGGGATGAAATGTTTCTTTTATTTGGAGATCAAGCTGCCTACGCTTTTTCCCCCCTGTAAATAACTGGTTTTGGTTTGCTTTTATTATTAGCCGCTGATGCAAAAGAACGGCAGCATTGGGTTAGCAGACTCCAGATATGCACGCAGCATCACACGGAAGCAATTGGGAAGGTACTGCACGATTTTAATGTATTGGGTAAAAACATATGAGAATATCCACATTCTTAATAGGTTTGGGTCGTTGGTAAGGGTAATTGAAAACTGATGCATTCCATTACTCTCCAACCCAGACAAATGCAATCAAGATAGAAATATGACTGCAGATGAGTAGAACGGCTTCTTCTAAAGTGTTTGGTACGGCAAAAAGATGATGACACTGCAGCCTATAAAAAGCCAACCGGTTCTAGCTAGTCATGGCACTTCCCATGTGGCATATGGAAGTCAGGTGTAGATGAAAGCTCGGGAATTGTAGGCTAGCATGTTCTAGTTGATTTTTTTGTGAGTAATGACCTAACCCCTAAGACCTGGTCCTTAAAAAGCCTACCCCTGGTTTTTCACTTCCATTTTCTGGCAGATGAAACCACCCACTTGCTCATGGCTACATTTAGGATAAAATTGGGTGTTTAGTGCCTTAAGCTGACAACTTTGAGTGTCCTGACTTCAAAGTAAGCATTCAAATAATCCTCTTTTTTAATTTTATTTCTAATGCATTTTAAAAAGAAAATAGTGTATTTTTTAAACTTCTTCTCAAGATGTTTAATTATTTTTAAATTTTGTTGTTTTTTTTAAGCTTTGGAAATAATTTCTTCGTTGGCTTCCACAATAGTTGCATGGGAAATATAGCACAGGAGTCCCAGTAAGTTTTATCTTACGTAAACTTAAGACTGAGGAAGTAAGGTTGTGTTCCATACAGATTTTTACTGTCAAAACTTTAGAACAAGTTTTGAAATACAGTTCAGATTTCTAGCTGTAGTTTTATGTTTGTTTGTCTATTATGGTTTATTCTAAGGAGAAAAAAAATATTTCCAAACATTTGGTTTCAAGTCCCTGTTCTTTGCATGTTGGGAGGAGTTTAAAGCTAGGGACACTTATTTCATAGGTTTCATAGATATGAGGGCTGGAAGGGACCTCGGAAGATCGAGTCCAGCCCCCCGCCCGAAGAGCAGGAAGTCAGCTGGGGTCATAGGATCCCAGCAAGATAAGCATCCAATTTACTCTTGAAGGTGTTCAATGTAGGTGCTTGAACCACCTCCAATGGCAGACTATTCCAGACCTATGGGCTGCTAGTTCCATTTTCAACAGGGAGATGGTTGAGCATTCGCTGTATCTAACAGAAATCTACTCTCTGGTTTCTACTTCATTTAACTGGAGAGCTGAAACATTCAAATTCATGCTTCTATTTTTTGTGACTAGTTCTAACCTCCTTATCAAGAGCCTCTAAATATTTTGCTTTCTTTTGAATACTTGTAAATGAACTTCTTTTTTGTTTAAGTGTCATGTGTGGTCTGCTCCAAATCAGTTGGAAGATTAATTGTATGCCAGAGCTGAAACCAGTCTAGAATTACAAACTTTTTTGATTATATAAAAAAGAGGAGTCAAAGACATGTCCACAGGTGGTATAAAGCATTAAGTATTGTTTCATTTCTCTTCCTGATTTAAACAAAAGTTCACTGTAGTAGGCAGCGTAGCCAGGTAATCATCGGTAAGTACCACGAAATCAAACCTTCTCATCCTCTAATTCTTGGTTTGTTTGGGTTTTTTCAGTTCTAATATAGATGTCTAATAAAAGTATCTGTTGGGTATTAGGAATTGATTCTCAACATCTTTAATATGTTTATTCACCAGAACAATCCTCCTCTGAAATCTCGCAGCTTCTCCCTTGCATCCCAAGGAAGTGGCAACTCTCCTGGTGCTCAGAGAAGACCCAGCCAAAATGCAGCTTCTTTTTTTAATGTTGGACATCACAAATTGTCAACAGGAAAAAGAGTTCTTATTATGCAACCAGACCACCTAGTGGACGTTAGAGAGGTTGGTATGAAGTATTTGTAAACATTGGAAAGATAAGAATGATCTTTTCACTGATCTTCTGACTTGAAATTACACAAATTTTAAATTTAAATCTCATATTTTTAACTGTTTGTAATATTCATCGTTTATCTTTATTGTTGTCTTGCTGTGTGAAGTTAAGGAGCTTCATATGCTCCCAACCTAGAAAAGTCAGTATTTTAATGGTGATTGGAGTATGTCTTCTGTGTGTTTGTAAAAGTGCTTTGGCATGCAAGTTTGTTTATAAATTTTGGATTTATTATTTACATTGAGGAGGGGGAGACGAGTGATTTCCACCCTTCCTACCCTCAGTGCTCTCTGTAACTTATCTTAAATACTAAGATTTTTTTTATAAAACTCCTGGTAAATCCTAGCATTACAGGTAAAATGTCATACCACATTTCCTCTTAAACCCTAGAGTTGCCTATTTTCAAAAGAGTTGCCTTAACTCAACACCTAAAAAGACTCAACTCTTGACTCAAGCTTCATGTGATAGAGGAAAAATGTATTATGCTTTGTATCTGCAAATTTCACTAACAATATAATTACACAAGAAATCTGTGACCAAAGTCATCAAAGCACTGAGTAAATTCAAATAAAATAAAGTGCAGTCCAATAGCATGATTCCATTGAATTCCTTTTGCTGTGTCAGGATGCTTGTGAAAAATGTGCACCGTAACCACTCTTTTTATGCTCCCATCCATGTAGGCACTATAAAGAATTGATTGAATTTGAATGTTTGCAACACACATCATGTATGCAAGCGATGGCACCCATGCTGCAGGGTTTGCTGAAGTGGTGCAGGCAGCCCATGTGTGGGGTGTGTAGCAGAATACAGAGGGGGCAGGTAGCACAGTGGCAGAGAGGGCAGAAAGCAGAGCACTGGATCAGACCGGAGCACAGAACAGGGAGCAGAAAGCTGAGCAGCAGAATGGATATGGGAAAGGGATCAGTGCAGCATGCGTGCCAAAATATTGGCCCCCACTATGTATGCCATATATCTACAGAATGGACACTTGTCTTGGCAGAGTCAAAGACTGTTGTTACTATTATCAATAGTAATAGTTTTAGGCCAGTGATGTGATCAGCCCAGTACATCAAAGGATAGATGCACAAAATCTGACATGCTGGGAAATCCACTTTGAGCAAAAATTAATGGTCTCTCTTTCCCCTTTTTTTTATTGTGAAATCACTGTAGCCTTGCAGTAGAAGGGAGTTTGTAAAAAGGAAGTGAATAACAAGGTTGGGTTTTAGTACACTGGAATAAAACATTTCACAGCAGCAAAGAATCAGACTTCTGCATTGGAGATTTCTGTAAGCGCCTTGACAGTCAACACAGTGTGGCAAGAATGTGTCTTGCCCAAGTAATGGAAAGAGATCTGAGGTGTTGGGGGACTAATTTGAAGATGAGCACTTAAAAATATATATATAATATGCTCAGAGGGTAATTTAACCTTGAAAGCAGATATTATGGATATGGATTTTACAGAAAGCTTCCTTGTCAAACATGGTTTGACACAAAGAAACAAGCAATACAACTTGTGATGTTTTTCAGACTAACATAGTTCTCTTGACCTGGTCCGCTTTGTGAATTGCTGCTAAAGTGCATGTGTATCTCTTTTTCCAGTTCTTTCGAATGAAAAAGACTTTTCTGTACCCGGACAAAAGTCTGCAGATTGTTCAGCCCACAGTGTTTGCTTCTAGATAAGGCTCTCACCTTCTGTTAATTTTTGTTTTCTTCTTTCATTGCATATCTTGATATAATCAGTATTATTGGAGGGTAAATTCCCTCTTTCTTTATGAATGGGAACAGAGGGAGACTTACTTCTGTAAGCAAAATATTTTAGAGACAGTGGTGAAAACTGGAGAATTTTAAGGCCTTGTGTTTCCTTTTCATTGCTACCAGAAATTCATGTTAGCATCATGAAACATGAGTAACGAAAGCTGGGAGTATAGTATGTGGATAGAAGGCTCTAACTTGAAAGATAGTTCTGGTTCATAAATGGATAGCAATCTGCCTGTTTTGCTTTCTAATAGGAAGCAAGAATAGTATAGTTTACAGAATAGTTTTGTAGTGGCCTTTCAAGTGGTCTTGTAAGAAAAGAGTAAATCATTTATTTATTGTTTCAACTTCAAAATCTTGTTTAGTTAGAGTAGGTGTAAGTATAGCTGTCATTCTCCTTCAGGTAAGGGTAAGCTTGTAGATTTTTAGATGTCTTAATTTTGCCATGGATAGCAAGTCATAATGTCCCCTTTTTTTTTTTTAATTCATGTGCATCTGAAGCCAGAACTTGGTCACCTGAAAGGAAACCTAATATACCGGTATCCCCTTCTTCCTGTCATCTCATAACATAGCAGTGGGTTGTAGGAGAAGATATCTCTGGAGCAAAGTTACCAGCTCAGTTTCCAAAGCAGCTGCTTCCACTAGTTTATCCACAATAATTCACCGGAGGACATTGTTTGACAAACAGTTGGTTCATCCATTTTGGACTGCCAGCGGTGAGGGTGTGTCTAGGGGTGCTGTGGGCATTTATGGTGATGGAGGACATTTGGGAAGGTAGCAGTGTCTTGTTCTCCCACTCCTCCTGCTAAACACAGCCTCAATCAGGGAGACAGATGGAGCTTGCGAGACTTTTATACTGTTCTTTTTAGCTGTCTGTTTCTGACAAGGAACATTGAGATGGAGAAAAGTTTAAAAATTGGGGATTTGGGTTGCCTGAAGTAAGGGTTAAGGTGCATCTGAGTGCAGCAACAAAGAATTTCTATGTATTATGGCACGTTATCTGTTGGCAACAAAGTGGGAAGCTCACTGAAGACCATGCAGCTCGAGTGTGGCTACATATAGTAGTGGCTGGGTAGTCAGGCAAGTGATCCGAGTCTGGGGTAGAGGTGAATCATGGTGTACCTAGGGACCAGGTGGATAGGAAATGCTAATGGACAGCTTTTAGTTGTCAGGTTTCAGATGACATGGCGTGGAAATTTCCCAGGCTTTCCAGTACACATCAACATAAACGCTGTATGCTCATGTTATGAGCCCCTGCCTCCCCTAGTCCCCCTCTTCTTTCATGCCTCCCGCATTATCCTCACTTACTGGTTCTACCTCATCCTACTTCCACATGCCACGAGTGTTGTAGCTAGGAACCCACTCAATTTGTGATTTCATAGTTTTTCCAGAAATTGCGAAATTGGGCGTTGTCCATGAAATCAGGCAATGCCTGTGAAATACACGGAGGGAAAAAAATGTACTTAAAATAAAATTCTAGCTCCCCAGTGGCAGCCAGCAGTCCTCCTGGCCCTGTGACCCAACCACGCAGCCTGCAGGGATCTACTAAATGAAAGGGAACCATTTAGTGGATTTGGTGTCAATAATCGAGGGGCTGCCACCACAAAGGGGAGCAGCTGTGATGGCAGCTGCCCTTGCTCTTTGCTCCTGATTGGCTGAGAGGGCTGCCTGTCCTGCGGCCCCTCTCCTCTCTACCAATGTGGCAAGGTGTGGGGCCATGCGATAGGCAGCCCTTCAAGCCAATTAACAGAGAGAAGCGGGGCCCCTTGGCCAATCAGAGGCATGGGGGCAGGGGCTGCTGCAATAAGCCTGTGGAAAAAAGTGGCCACCCCGTGATCTGCCCACAAAATTGGCCACCTGCCTCCTTGATTTGGGTAAGTCCCTAATCACCGCAGGTAAGTGGCTTGGGGTTTGGACATGCTTGGATCAGGAATGCAAGTGGCGCTAGGGAAAGGGAAACAGGACTGGAGTTGATCTTGTGCTAAACAGCTGATGGGATGCCTGAGCAGAGGTAGGCATCTCTTCTGCAAGTGAAAGCTTTCCCTTGCTTTCCCCTCTCCACACAGCTTGTGCCTGCCATAGCGCCACGTGCTGCTGCCGTCCCACATCCCCACTCAGCCTGCAGGCCTCCGTGGAGTTGCAGTATTGCACAGCATGGCAGGCCAGCCTGAATTCACAGGGTCAGTGTGTACTGGTTGGTTCAGGCCCATCTCTAGCTGCAAATGTTGTATTGTTTTGAGCATGTTTGCAAGTAAGGAAGTTCATTTAGTGGATTCCAGGTATGCTTCAAAGAGAGATTGTGACACCTTGTCTTTTTATCAGCAGGGATATTTTAACGCTGCTGTAACTAAACTTCTTCACGTGATGGAAGTTTGTAGCATGGAAGTTACTCTGTCCCCTCCGACTGGGAAGGACTAAGCAGCTGAGAATGTAACTTCATGAACAGAGCAGGCAGGAAGGAAGGACGGGGAGGCAGGATACAGAAGGTGGAGCAAAAGGTGATTTTGAGGGATCTGATGTGCCAATAGCTTTTTATAGCATCTGTTTACATCAGATGGAGGCATGTGTCGCCGTGACACTTGAATCAGGAATTTATATATTGCATGACCAGTATAGATAAAGCACCAGGTTAGATTTATTTAAATATTTTTTTCTAAGTTACAAAAAGCACAAGGAGTGTCTAGTGTTGAAATAAAAAGCTTCTGTTTAGAGGGGAGAGACATTTTTAAACTAAAACATTGTAGATTGGGGGTGGGGGGATGAATTTACAGAAAATAAAAGGGCTCTGGAGGGTGTATTGGGAGCTGTAGATGTGGCAGTTAGCAAAGATGGGCAGGGGTTTGTCATCCTGGGTAGTTTTCTAGCCAGTTCTTTAGTTTCCTTGGGGGTTATTGGTTTGGGAGTGGAGAGAGCACGAGGACTGGCTAGTATGGACTGGAGGAGTTGTTGGGGTCCTGGGCAAGAGTCATTTAGGGCCCCTTAGAGGGTTAATTTTGACCTATAAGCAAGTTGGACAATTTTATTTCAATTTCACTGTGCCCTATCCATGAAACTGCAGTGACAGTATCTTAATACAACACTGATAATACAAATATTCAGTGTAATTAATTTTTATAAAGTGTGGGGTCCCAGGCAGTTGCCCTGTCTGACCTCCCCTAAGGCCACTACTGACTAGAGGACCAACACCCAACATGCTGAT